ATTCTATATTCTATATATAGGGAGAGAGCTAGAGAGAGACAGAGACAGAAAGACAGAAAGAGAGAGATTGAGACAGAGAGAGACAGAGAGAGGAAGAGAGGTGGGACTATACTACTTTAGGGGAGGGAGAGAATAAAAGGAGCAATTAGGAGACTGGCATGTCTTTCTCTGTCCTTTAGTAAAGAAAAGAAAAATAAACAAATAATAAATCTATTATTTTCTGAACATACACTTTTCCTTCATTGCATACATGGAAATTCAAAATCCAAAGGAAAAAAAATCATTTTTCTTTTTTGTATCAAATTATAATTAGGAGTTGTCTGGCATGTTAAGAATTTCCACTTAATTACCACTTTAGATGATCAGTTAACCCAACCAGTGTTTTAATTGAGTTCTTTTTCCTTTTTAAGGTAAGTTTAAAGATATATGATGCAATATTAACAGTTATAGGGAAATAATAGTAACTCCCTCTTTTCTCCATTAAAATTAAAAAAATAAGATGTCAGCCCAGCAAACAACTCGCTGGGAGCATCAGAACCTTTCCCTCCCCCCCAACAATGAGGTGTTTTACTTTGTTTTTGTTTGTTTCTATTGTGTACCATGTTCTTCAAATCAAAAGACTGCGACAGGAACCCATCTTCTTCATTGTGGTCATCTCATAAGGTGGTGACTTATGTGATGGTCTGTCATAAGGTGGACTTAATGATTGAGTGTGTATTGCTAACTCCCACAGCCTCTGATTCTTTCTGGACATCCTTATCAAAGGAATCCTTGTTCAACCCTAGAATTTATAATTTGCATTTGGGAGACTCTAAGACTTCAAAAATTTTAATTCCTTCCTTCATGTCCAAAGATAATCCATGTCAGATTTATTTTCACCCATCTTCGGTTGATGTTAAGGGTAGAGGTGACATCTTGACAAGAAGAGACAGGTCAGACCACAGTATTCCAGCCTAACTCTTTGCAAGTTGCAGCTTGGATCTCTTAAAGCCTGACACAGAATCACAGACTTTTTCACTGCATTGTCCTATAAATCATTGCTCCCATGGTACCGGCTTCTTAAATTTGACTAGGTCAAAATAACAAGTGAGATCTGGACAACATGTATCAATGAGAACATAGCCCATCAATATAAGGTTCTGCGGGGTTTCTCTGAAGAAGACATTCCACCTCTGGATAGTAGCTTTATTTCTTGCCTGGTATTTGCAGCCTTCTCTCTCTCTCTAATTTCTTTTTGTATTTAACTTTTTTCATTATTATTATTTTTAATGAAAATTTACAGACACTTTGGATTTCCACTCATTCATTGTTGCACTTTTCTCCCTGCCCACTCCTCCCCACAGTTCGCTCTTCTCTTTGAAAAGTAAGAGAAAAGTTCTTTCATTTTTATTCAGTCCCTCCCTCCAAGTCCACTCCACTATGCAGCCTTCCTTCTGGATTCCTGCCATGATGATAATACCTAATCATATATACCTTTTAAACAGTTCTCTCCCTTACTTGTTTCAATGCAGAACCTTTTAAGGAGGTAGAAGACTTCTTGTTTAGCCAACAATAAAACTGGAGTATTTTCTGCATTTATTGCCACTTTGACGGAGTTAGCAGCTCAGACTCTTAATGCCACCTAATGAATATTCTCTTAATTAAAGCCAGGTGAAGAAAGCTGAGTAATGACTACTTCCTCACATTTTTTGGTAGAAGCCTTTTGGAGGCAACATGCCTGCCACATTACATGATGTATGTTCACAAAATAGTGGGAGCCTGGACTGTTGACATGTGTCCAAGAAGACTTAACTCACAGAGAAAAAACAATGAAATCCACATACTGCTATCTGTCAGCACTCAAGTGACACTGATGTGAGATTGGTTTATTCCAATCTTAGAACCTTTTCCAATGTACAGCATTGTTTTTGAATCTTGCCAGGACAGTCACAGATAAAACTGCAATTTAGGGAAAGGGTGTATTTAAGTTTCCTACAATCCTTTCTCCAACACAATCTCCATTTTTGAGAGTGCAACATGCCTGGATGCTGTGTCCTACACTCATAATCACCTCTACCTCTTTCCTTGCCAACACTGTAACTTTTCCAGGCAGTACAGACATTAACCACATCAAAACTTCCAAGTCTTTGTTCCAAACTTCAGATAATTATCCTCCTCTACAGAGAATCACATCTCATTTATCACTGGGTAACTAAGTGTACAGGTTTACGTAGGTGAGGCATTTGAATGGTGTGACAAGCTTTCTAGAAAAGACATTCCATGAATGGGAAGTTGGGCAAATGCACACTGTATATATAGTACCTAGGTAAAAGGAATAGTTTTGAAATAGGGC